ATTGGTTCAGAAATGTAACCATTGATTGGATGGGCAAAAGAAAAATTGCTTATTTTGTTTCCGGAGTGGCTATGATAGCAAGTTTTATCTCTTTTGCTACTTTAAACTTTAATCTTGGAGTAGATTACAAAGGAGGAAGAACCTATGTAGTAAAATTAAAAGATAACGTAAATCCTACAGAAATATCCACTATTTTAGCTCCTTTATTAACCCAAGAGAACGGAGAAAGAGTAGATGTAAAAACGTATGGAGGAGATAATCAAGTAAAAATTACGACAAAATATAAAATTGATGATGAATCTCCTACCGTAGATGGAGAAATTTTATCTAAATTATACACCGGATTAAAACCGTATTTAAGTTCGGGAATTACACAAGAACAATTTAATACGGCAAGTTTGGATCAAGGAGTTCGTTCCTCCTCCAAAGTAGGACCTACCATTGCCGATGATATTCAACTTCGAGGGTATTATGCCATTATTCTCTCACTCTTAGGAATATTTTTATACATCTTATTCCGATTTAGAAAGTGGGAATTTTCTACCGGTGCGGTCTTGGCACTTTTCCATGATACGGTAATTGTACTGGGATGTTTTTCTTTATTCTATAAATATACCCCTTTTTCCTTAGAAATAGACCAAGCCTTTATCGCTGCTATTCTTACGGTAATAGGATATTCCATTAACGATACCGTAATTGTATTCGATAGGGTACGGGAAAATTTAGGACTTTATCTAAAAGATTCACTTAAAAAAGTATTTAATGATTCCATTAATCAAACCTTAGGAAGAACGTTTAATACTTCATTCACTACCCTTATTGTAATTGTAATTATCTTTATATTCGGTGGGGAAACCATTCGAGGGTTTATGTTTGCTTTGTTGATTGGGATTGGAGTAGGAACCTATTCTTCTACCTATGTAGCCTCTGCTATTACCTATGATTTATTAAAAGGAAAATTGAAAAACAGAGAGCCGAGTTAAGAGGAAATTAGAAGATTCATACTAAAAATATAAATCAGAAAAATAAAAGCAAAGCATAAAGTAAAATTCTTTATCTTTGCTTTTATTTTTTAGTTATGAAACATGTATTGTTTTTAGAAGGATTAGCATTTAGTGAACTGGCTCTAATTATATTGATAGCACTTTTAATTTTTGGTCCAAAGAAAATACCGGAAATTGCACGAGGACTGGGAGAAGGAGTTCGGAAAATGAGGCAAGCAACGGAAGAAATCAAACAAGAAATTATGACTCAAACTCAAGAAAATACGTCTATTCAAGAAATAAAAACGGAAATTGAACAAGCCAAAAAAAGCATAGAAGAATTAGACGGTCCCATAAAACGAAGTTAAAAATATAATTTAAGACCTCGAATGATTTTAAAAGGAGAAAATCTCATCAAAACGTACGGAGATAAACGAGTAGTAAAAGGTGTTTCGTTGCAAGTAGAACAAGGAGAAATTATAGGGCTTTTAGGTCCTAACGGAGCCGGAAAAACCACCACTTTTTATATGATTGTCGGGCTGGTACGTCCTACGCAAGGGAAAGTTTATCTCGATTCACAAGATATTACCCACGATGCCATGTATCGGCGTGCTCAAAAAGGAATCGGGTATTTGGCTCAGGAAGCCTCTATTTTTAGAAAATTATCCGTAGAAGAAAATATTTTAGGAGTATTGCAAATGACTTCGTTAAGCAAAAAAGAGCAACGATATAAGGTAGATTCTCTTATTGAAGAATTTTCTTTAGAACATGTGCGAAAAAATCGAGGAGATTTACTCTCCGGGGGAGAACGACGAAGAACCGAAATTGCCCGCTGCCTGTCGGTAGACCCTAAATTTATTCTCTTGGATGAACCCTTTGCCGGAGTAGATCCGATTGCTGTGGAAGACATTCAAAAAATAGTTCGTTCCTTAGTAAAAAAAAATATAGGAATCTTAATTACCGACCATAACGTACAACAAACACTCGCCATTACCGATAAAACCTACATTATGTTTGAAGGTAAAATTTTAAAGTCGGGAAAACCGGAAGAATTGGCAAACGAGCCTCAAGTACGTCAGGTGTATTTAGGGG